ACTGATCATCCCAAATCCATGTTCCAACTTTCTTAAATGCAATACAGTCTGCTTCCATAGAGACTATACCGGGATACGGTTGATGATATAAATCCTGCATTACCCATAATAAGGAATATACCATAATTCCCATAGTTTAGGGTCCTTAAGGTAATGCAGGATTTATACCATCAACAGTATTGCCCATATTTACCATAAGTATTATGTTCAAAGCCCTGGGTTCCCTCAACCCTAAACCCTAAAAAATAAACCCTAAACCCTAAAACCCTAAACCCTAGACCCTCGACCCTAAACCCTAAACCCTAAACCCTGAAGCCCTAAAACCCTAAACCCTAAACCCCTAAAGCCCTAAACCCTAAACCCTAAACCCCTAGAGCCCTAAAACCCTAAACCCTAAACCCAAGTCGAACCCAAGGCGAGGGCGGAGAGGGCATCTCCAGGAGCAGCTGCGGCCAGCCACTGGCCTCAGACTCAGAGATGGTCTTTGGTCGCTTTTTGTTGAATAAGCTTTAGGGTTTAGGGTTTAGGCTTTAAAGTTTAGGGTTTAGGGTTTAGAATTTAAGGTTTAGGGTTTAAGTTTAGGGTTTAGGGTTTAAAGTTCATGGTTTGAGTGAGGTTTAGGGCTTAGGGATTAAAGCTTAGGGTTTTAGTGAGGTTTGGGCTTTTTTTGGAGGGGGCGGTGCTAGGGTTTAGGATAGGGTTCTCAGGGGATCTCGTGGGATTTCATAGGGCTACTATAGGTTGGGTACTGCCCTCATAGAGTTGCAGTCTGCAATAGGGCTACTGTTCAGGGCCTTATATATATATATATATACAAAATGGGACATACTAGATATACTAGAAATATTACTTAACTGTTACTGAGTGGGAGCAGTATCCAAAGAATAGGGCTCTTGTGGGACTTCGTGGAGTTTCAATGTGCTCATTTCGGATTTAATAAATATGCTTGCGATGGGCTTTTATAGGGATCAGTTCAGACTTACTTTATGGAATTTTTGGGTTCCCATTTATGAAGGTGCTTGCTTTGCGACTGGCAATCGCATGTGATTTTGCTGTTTTGATCGCCGCCCGCCGGGAAGACTCCAGGTCGCGGCTCGACCGCAGCCAGGCACCGAGGCTTCCTTATGCAATATAGGATACAGTGATTATATAAACATATACACACACACATATGGGTAGTTCTCTAAATTAGTGTCCCTTTTAGGGTCCTGTTTATGAGAGTGCCGTACTATGTTGGGGACCTAAAAAGGGACCCTGCTTTAGAGAACTGCCCATATGGGAGTTTCCGAAAATTAGGGGTACCTTATTTTAGGTATTTTCGGAAACCCCCGTAGGCTCTATGATGGCACCTCACAGGCCAAGGCGGCTCTTAGCAGCGCCTGCCCGGGTGAAGGTGCAGATGCCATAATCGGTGAGGAGCAGATCACGCTTGCCCTAAGTCCATGTGCCCATATAGTGTATACATTAGCCTTCGAAGTGTCCGTGTATAGGTACTGTAGCACCATTAAAGTATATACTATATGGGCATCTTGGACCCTCAGGGCGGTGAGGAGCAGATCACGCTTGCTGAAGCACACGATGTTTTTGTAACAGCAGAGGAGGCTTGTGCTGCAGCAAATGTCTGCGCCTGGCACTGAATGCAAGAACAGGCCACGCGCCTATAGACTGAACCGTGTATTGTCCCCAGGTACTACATCCAGTGCATTACTAGACTAGCTATCAACACAAGTTTAGTATGTATTTTTTGGCTGAGAAGGTATATACTCTTCTTGTACTTGGACCTTTGTCCTAAGCCCCAAACCCTGTCCTGACAGGATGAGACTGACTGACCAATGTCCGACCGAGCCCCAAAACCCTAAACCCTCTACCCTAGACCCCAACCTCTAAATCTTCAACCCTGAATTGAAAAAAACATGTTTCTTCCACATTACTGTCATATATACACTTATGGTGTAGTATAACACACCCCCGACGACTTTTCACTACTCCCCTATACTAAGCCCCAGAGCACCCTTTAAACAAGCCCTCCAACGACCCTGAGGCGAAGTGGTGAGGCCTCGATTTACTTCCCAGCTTTTGTGCTCAGCTGTTACAGGATCACTCAGTGCCTTTACCAGCCATTCCTAAAGCGGATTTGGGCTTAGGGTTTGGGGTTCAGGGTTGTCCTGAACTCTAAACCCGACATAGCATTACTGGTTGTTTGGGCGTTCGTGTCAGGCCGGGCTTGGCCATGTTCTGTTAGGACTCAGCTTCAAGGTTTATAATTCCCTAAGGGTCCATGTACCCAAATAGTAGAACATTGGCCTTAATGTAGTCCCTATATGGGTACTTTAGGGCCAATGTTCTACTATTTGGGTACATGGACCCTTTAGGGATTAAGTAAACACGAGTTGCCGACCGTCTGCGGAGGCGGCGATAAACGATGCCTCAGCATGGGCTTCTTCCCCAAAGAACCCCTATATACCCTCAAGTCGAATTGTTGATTTCTAGTCGCAACGGAAAAGACTTGAAAGCTTACTAGGAGACTCATGGAGCTTTTGCAAGTAGATTCTGATTGGGTCTGCAAGTGCCCTACTTAAAGGATTATGGGACTGGGTTTACGGGGCTCCTTAAAGTCTTAAGGGGTTCTTTGAGAATTCTAAAGTAGCAGGGCTTCTCCTATCTCTAACCCACCCTACCTGTACCCCAACCTACTCGAAGCCTTCTTGCCACTCGGCTCAGGGACAAGAGCAAAAGGCGTACCCACCAACCAGCGAAACACAGAGGACTTTGACAATGGCAAACAACTTCGATACTCTTCGACGATATTGGCCAAGCAACGCTGCATTGAGGAAAGAAGCACTTGCTGACTGTGCAGCCAAATCCCACAACCTCCAATTTCTCCTCTCCATGAGGCCTACATATTGCAACACTATGCCGCAAGTTCATGTAAAGCCCACACTCACAACTTATATGTTCTGCCAGCCGGCAATTCACCCCTGTAGATCCAGCTTACCCTCCTCAGCCTACCCTAGACCTTGTACATCCTAAACTCTACAACCTACAACAACCCTAAACCCTTAAACCGTTAAACCCTAAACCCAAAGCCCTAAACCCTAAACCCTAAACCCTAAATCCTAAACCCCTAGACCCCTA